GATAAGTGCTTTCTTTTTGTTTTGAGTTTAGTAATGAGTACAATTGAATCTTAGTGAAGGATATTGTAAGATCGATGGAGATGCGATCAATGATAAGCGAAGATCTATGAATTCATAAGAATCTTCAAGGTACAAGATAATGTTGATAGAGAAAGGGATTGTGTTATACGGTGGAAATTACAATTCAGATTTTTCATTGTAAGTCTACATTTGTGGTGATATATTTTGTCAAGGTATAAATTTGCAAGGTGAGGAATGATCACTTGTATCAGGTATTGAGCATTTGAAAAGACTTACACTTGGTTTGAGTCGTAAAGTTTATTACTTTTGATTGTTAAAGTATCTAAGGAAGGTTTTCATTTTAAAAGTGTTGGTTTAGAGTAAGGTAAATGGTCGGAGTGTTCATGATGGTTGTTAGTATTGAGAGTGTGGACTTCAGTGGAATGATGTGAAGAGTATGTGGAGTCAAGTGAATGGAAATGTCTGGTATCGACTCTTCAGAGGAAAACCTTTCGTGTTATTTGATAAATTCTTATGTGACCATCTATTTCATTTTGTACATGATTGTGAGTGTGACACACTAGCTATGCTTACGTGTGTTTTCATTTTGTGGGTGGATCTCTAGTGGTGGATCATATGTACCGATCCTGCGATGTTCTCTTGGTTGAGTGGGATTAGTTGGGAAGACGTGGTTATTTCAGATGACTTATGTGGTGTTGTCTTGGAGTTGTAAAGTATTTCAGTGGTTTTACATGTACCACCTTACTTATGAGAGTTTATAGAAGAGCTACCATGTGTATTTATGATTGTTCGATAATCTAAATATTCATCTAGTCGTTGAGGTCATGTATTGATTGTGTGTGATTGAATGTGGGGATCATTGGGTCCAATTCTACTGTTCTTAAGAGGTGATCTACAATTTCTAAATCTAGCATTTTTGATAGTGTTGTTGAAGGGTTTGTATGCTTGGACATATCCCTCGATGAGTATCTGATTTCTAAGGACCAAAATTTTTATAGCTTAAACTCATGGGAAATTGGGTTGTGAGATGGAGATGTTGATAAGAACTATGATTGTTTGGGTATTATGATTGTGTGTTGGTTGGTTCAGGTTCACCTCTAATTGTGACGAGTTTTGATTTAGGATTTTATCATGGTTATGTGAGAAAGGACTCGTCCTGTTGTTTGTGTCAAAGTCCATGATAACATGTTGCAGACATGTGTACGATCAACTTTGGTGGTTGTTGGGAATAACTTTGTTGTTAGTTAAGTGTACATACAACAATAATTATCACTCGATTATTGTGATGACTTCATTGAGGCATTGTATGGGAGGATGTGTAGGTGTTCAATTGGTTGGTTTGAGGTTGAAGATGCAAAACCTTTGAGAGTTGATTTGGTGAAAGATGTTCAGGGTAAGGTGAAAAGTATCCAATCTAAGCTTCTAGCAGCCCACAATAAACATAAAAAGTATGTGGGACAAGTATCCCTAGTTATTCGACGATTGAGATACTACTCTATTCTTGCTTTATCCCTTTTTCTCCTAGTTTGTCACTCAGGGACAGGTGATGGGTAAATTGGTATCTATTGTAACGACATGTTCCCGTTATTATAGAAAAGCCAATGGGGAAAGAATTGGGGCAAGAAAACTTTTTCGTAGTAACTTGGAATTTCCCAACCTAGTCCAGATTTGGACGAAATTAGAGTCATTAAGGTGTAGGGAAATCTGGTAACAATCAGGTGATTTATTTATGATTTTGATTACATTAGTAGTTAGATAAGTCGTTAAGGAATCCGTACGACTTTACGAAATGGAATTCGGGTAAGTAGAACTCCCGGAATTGATTTTAGCGTGAACGGTATTTTCTGAGCGTCGTTGGTTAAAGGTGTGTTGTGAAATGAGGGTCTTGGAATTATTAAAATAGCTCACTGTTTCGTGCAAGCCGCTTTGGCGGAGGTTTTGGTCGCTCTGGCGGTACCGCTGTAGCGGGGTGAGGGTTGTTGTGGCGGGCCAGACGCGACTTAAAGTTGTAAACAAACCCCAAAATGACTTTATTCTGCACTTTTCGATTTTTAGAGCTAAGGAACAACCCCAGATGAGTTCTTGACAATTTTTCACCATTCTTGAGGCTAAGGTAATGTTTTCACTCCCCGAAATTATTTTTCGATCTGTAGAACTCAGTTTCATGGGTAATTATGGATGGGGGAGGGTTTTGATCTTGAATTTATTGTGGAAAAAGCCCTAATATGGGTATAGGATCAAGGATTTGGTCTAGGGTTATTGAGTTTGTTATAATTCGGATAATTAGACCTTTGATTGTTGATCCTTGCATATAAATTGTTGTTTTTAGACCATGAACAAGCGGGAAGAATCTGGTCTAGGGTTATTGAGTTTGTTATAATTCGGATAATTAGACCTTTGATTGTTGATCCTTGCATATAAATTGCTTGTTTTTAGACCACGAACAAGCGGGAAGAATCTGGAAAGGGAAGATTCAAGTACCTTAGGGAATTCAAGCTTGGATTCGAGGTAGGTGATGGTTGTGATTTCATGTTGGTGTGATATATGTTTGTAATTGCTCCATTATAATGCATGTATGTATGCGAATGTTGCATTATTGATCACCCTAATCGTAAATGAGGATAATTGAATAATTGTATGTCATGAATCATCTCTTGTTTTATGATTGTGAGAATATACATTGTGATTGTGATCGTGGTTTGTTGAATGGGCGGGTGTCACGATCCGACACATTAACTGGGATCGGTTGCCACGTTCCGACATAATATGGGATCGGTTGCCACTTTCCGGCATAAATATAGGATTAGTTTCCACGTTCCGGCATAAACATTGGATCAGGTACCACGTTCCGGTATGCTAACAATTTGGGTGTGGGTTCCATGAGAGGACCGTTGAATTGGATTTCGTGAGAGGACTATTGAATTGTGTTGTATATCTACTTGTGATGATTACGTTCATATCTAATGATGATTGATATTGGAAGACCGTATGTTGCTCTAAATTGATGACCAATGTGTATTATTGAGAATGTGGGGGTGCTACATTGATCCTGAAAAGATGACAAATATTATATATGTTCAGTATATGCTTGTTTATAATGTTGTGGGTACTTGCATGTGTTTCACTTATTGAGATAGCCGCGTGATCCTAACAGTACACTGTGGTTGTGTACTGATACTGCACTTGCTCTTATCTTTGTTGAGTACAGGGCATCTTTAGGTGGCTATTGATAGACCTTAGCTAGGTGACTATTGAGCATGACAGGATTCAAGGGTGAGCCAGTTCTTTTGGGCTGCCATGGATCTTCTTGTTTAAGTCTACTCTTTTCGGACTCAGACCATTTGTTTAAGGTGTTGTTTAGTTTCGGGGTTGTACCCCTGTTCTTAGACTTGTTGTTAGTATAGTTTTGGTACATTGACTTTCAGGTTCTAGGGGTTGTTCCTCCGCATTAGTTTGGTTAGTTAATTGTTTAAACCTTTGGAGTTTCTGGGAACTCCGTATTTTTATAGTCATTTAAACCTGCTTCTGTATCTTTAAATGCCTTAATTTTCATAAAATTTGTTTGTTTGGGTTGTAGTAATGGTTCTCCCATCGGAGGTTTAGTGTGGGTGCCAATCACGACGGTCTGGGTCGTGACAATTGGTTCTATATTCTTTTTTGTTTTAAATATTTCATTTTCATGTATATTATCACCCACAATACCTTATACGAATCCAATGTATAATTTTCAACATTTATATACAACTGTTTATTTATCCATTTTAATGATTTATATACATATACAAATAATTGTATATAATATGTTTATACGAACTTATTTTTGGACATAATATTTTAGGATGTTAGGTTTCTACTCAAAGAAGCATTTCAAGAATGCCCCACACGTACAGTGTTATACAAATAATGATTTATTTACATATACATATATCAGATACATATACTATTCATCCACTCAATAATAATACATATTTGTATACAAATACATTTAATTAATCTATATATGAATGAAAAACAGTTTTCAATTACATATACAACTATGGTGTTCTTCGTGTCGAAGAAGTCATTTTAGACAATAAACTATAATCAAATACAATTATAAATTACCTTACTTTATGGGATTGTTTTCAATTTTTTGTAACCAAAATTGCCGCTTTTTTATTATCTATTTTAAAAAGGAATTTGTATAATTTTTAATAAAAAGTTCGAGATATACAAACATTAGTCACCATAGCAAATGAAACAATAGTTATGGAGCGTAATTAGGTATACCATAGCTATATAGGCCAATTATGTTTTTTCTCTTTGCCATATATGAAAATCTCCCTATAGAAAAAGCACAAGACCCAATTTGTGAAAGAAAAACAAACTCAGCATCCCTGGAAAGTAAGTTGTTGATATGTTAAGAGTTATTTAACATGTAATATCCACTATACTATAACAATTTTTATCTTGGTGTGCATAAAACAATTTTTTTTTCTTATAACTCACTAACTCTACATACAATTCAAATATAGCCTCACAACAAGAAGTAACAAATGTGTAATTTGGTGAATCTAAAGTAAATAAACATGAAAGATATTGATAACATAGAAATTGAAGTCTTCAAATTACATAAGAAATTGACTCTGCATTTCCATTCATTATAGCTTAATTAACTCGTTCAGGTTATCTACTATCTTGAGAATTTTGGCATCTCAAATTCTTGAATGTGGGATGTAGGTATAAGGAGGAGCTGCCTATGGTGCCACCTTCCCGGTCTTAGGAAGGGGAAAAAAGCTTAGGCATAAATTTCACTCTTCTAGAGATCAGTTTGAAGGACACTGTTGAAAGCTTTTAGGAGAAGAACTCTATACAAATTGGAGTGGTTGTACGTATGTGTTGCAATAAGGTCCATCTACAGGTCGTTCGGTGCTTGCAGCTCTACAGAAAGTCAAACGGTGTCTGGACATTTTAATCCACTTTTAAGAAAGCAAAGTAAATAAGTAATGTTCACCTGCTGCTCAAGTAGTATATCAAACATAATATTGTAATTCATTTCCACAGTAACATGTGAAATGGCGAGGGGCTGGAAAATGGTATAACTATCTTACACTACATTGCTCTATATATCTGTTTACTAAAAACTTGCAACCAGTAAGAGGTAAAACAACCCGATTTAGAAGGAAGAATCAGCAAGTGTCTTAATAATGCTCCATCTGTCCCATGGCTTTGCTCTTTCGAAAGAAGTCAGTCCTGTTACATCACTGACCTGTTCAAAACCCATATGTATGGTTGTGACTCAGCTCTGGTTAGTTAAAAAAAAAAAAAGGCCTTGCTGCATGACTATTAGTACTGCAATAGACAACCCCACAGTGACAGCTGAAATAGTGTAGATCCTCAATGTTACCGAGGAGTTAATTATCCATCATAATCACCCACTACTGTTAGAATCTTCATTCACCCAAGCATCACTGAGGTTTTCAACTGAAGATGAACCCACAGGTTGCACTACAGACATCACAGCACGGTTTGGCTGTTTCGTGAACATAGTAAACAGAAGAACTTTAACTGCTCCCTCCCTCTCTTACCTGTATATAAATATGCTAATACAAGAAAAAACGAGTCAAGAAATAACATACATAGGCAAACAAACTGTAAAGCTACTCAGAGAAGTTAAACCAAACTATTCCCTAACAAGAGCTTTTGGAAACTGCAAATCTCTCTAGTTGTGGGTTAAGGCCGTCGAAAGTTCACAGAAACATGTAAGAGAAATCACATTGCCGCAAATAGACTCACTATGTTCTTTTCCTTGGATCCATCCCATCTGATTAACGGATTGCTATAGCATCCTTCTACACAAACAGATATCATTGTTACGATGAAGTACCCAAACTCAAATATATATGACATTTCTCATTAAGTAACTAAATAGATATGTATATATATAGAGAGAGAATTAGCAAGAGCAACAATATTTCACATCCAAAAAACAAAAAGAGAGGAACTTAATTTGCATTTTGAAATAAGTTTAACTCTTCAGTCTTACAAACCAAAAGCAAGATGTTTGAGTTCATAAAAGCCCTTCAACTTTGGCTCACCACTTTGACTGCTTGAAAGCCTTTCAGTTTTAGGCCATTTAATGAGTAAAGATGGATTCTCAAAGGCAGTGAACAAGAGAAAATAGACATTCACACTTACAAACTCACATGCAGATAACACTCTGCCCACTTTCACAACATTGAGATTGATGAACAGAGTTCCAAGTGAATGGTTTCCTTCGGTAGCAGATAGATTGTACTAGCTGCTGATCAATTCGTTTGATTCTAATAAAATGTAACAACAAAGTGTCAGATATCAAGCAGTTCATTGAATGATACTCCCTCCGTCCCATTTTATGTGAGGTAGTTTGACTCGGTACGGAGTTTAAGAAAGAAAGGAAGACTTTTAAAACTTGTAGTCCAAAATGAATTATAGAAATTTGTGTGGCTGTAAATCATTTTCATTAAGGGTAAAATTGACATTTTATAGTTAAATTGTTACTTTATATAGAAATGTGTCATTCTTTTTGGGACTGACTAAAAAGGAAAGTAAGTCACATAAATTGGGACAGAGGGAGTAACTTAGTACACATGACAGCAAAAAATAAAAGCTGATTTATTAGAGAATAACACTTCCTTTTATTATCAACTGCACTTAGCTAGAAATATGATAGAGCTAACCTAAATAGCTGGATTTATGTTACTAACTGTGAGTCTGAGAGGATTCATACTTTTTTTTTTGATAAAGTTAAAGTTGTATTTCTGAGAGGATTCATACTTTATGAAGCAAAAATGATATGGACAGGAGAAACAGAGGCTAAATAGTACAAGTACCACAAGAAGTAATTATTTTTGTCTTCAAGTCCATTGCAGCTTCAGTCATCCCTTGTGAATTGTACGCCTGAATCATGGTAGAAAATGTGATGTAGTCTGGTTTACATTTTCTGACCTTCATTTCCAAGAATAATGCCACCATCCTCTCTATATCACCAGCTTGACCATAAGCACTGATGATGCAATTGAAAAAAGGAGTATCTAGAACTACATCTGAATTCTCAACTTGCCTCATGATTGAATCAACATTTTCCATAAGTCCAGCTCTACTATAAGCACTTACAAGAGAGCAATAAGTGAATGAACTTGGCTTCACCCCTTCATGCTTCATCTGTAGGAAAAACTGTTCCATGTTCTTAATGAGGCAAGCTTTCCCCAATGTCTCAATGATGATATTGTAAGTCACAACTGTTGGAGAATAGAACCGATTCCTAATAAAATCAAGTACAGACTCCATTTTCTGGTACATGCCAGCTCTTCCATATGACTTGATAAGAATGTTAAATGTCATAACATCTGGCTTTATTCCCATTACCTGAAATTCTTCAAACCACTTCTCCATTTTCTCAAGCTTCCCACAGCTGCCATAGGACCCAATTACTGAATTCAAGGTGAAAACATCTGGAAAGGCAGTCTCATTTTCTATCATATCGGTCAAGGAGCTTTCCATCTGCTCAAACAGCTTAGCTTTACCATAGCCATCAATTATGGTATTGTATGTCACGGAACTACATTCAATTCCCAAATACACCATCTCAGCCAAAATGTATTCAATCATATCAAAACGACGAACTTTAGTGCAGCATTTAATTAGGATCGAGTAAGTATACACATCAGGCTTGCAATTACTAACTGATTTCATATCATCAATAGTTCGCAGCGCCTCATCAAGGAGGCCACTAAGACCATATGCATTTACAAGTGCAGTATAAACATCTACTGTTGGTTGAAGCCCATCCACTAGCATAATCTCAAAAAGCAAGTTAGCTTTACTTGGCTGCTTGCACTTGCCGAGCATTACCAAAAGCTTAGCATATGTATGGCATCTTGGCTCATACCAATGTTGCTTGCGAAGAAGGTCGAAAATCTAGGAGTAAGAACACATTTCTGTCAGAAAAATTGTTAAAACAACAAATACGAGTTTTATCTACAGTTTTATTTGGAACACAGCAACAACTACATAAGCTTCTGGGTGAGTCAAATCAACTAAGCCTTGGTCCATACTATTGGGGTCATAAACTTTAACACGTGTATGCAACGGAAGATTCATAAATGAAAACAATGCAACCCAAAGGAAAGAAATACTAATTACGACTTCATGTTTAGAATTAAAATATTAAACCTTAAACACACAATAGTTCACCCATTTTTCTAGCCTCCACTCCATTCTAGTGGAGCATGTGATTAAGAGTATAAGCAGAAGAATAATGAAAGGCTTGCAATGAAGGGGCTTGAAGAGAAGTTTTTCAAGACAGTCTTAAAAATTTATACCAATTAACTAAAAGGAATCAATTCACTAAAAGGCACAAAGAAAGATGACCAATTGTACTATTTGAAAGTGAAACTTAGCTGATTTTGTAACAAAGAAAACTGTATCTGACAATAATATTTTAGGCTATAGCCTTTGCTGCACAGGTGCAGATAAATTAACAACAGTGATATGAATGCATTGCGACTGCCATGAAGATTGAGGCTATGTCCAAGATATAAGAACACGAATTTTGACAGAAACCTACGAGTTGATACAAGGAAGCAACAGAGAAGGAATTTTATGGCCAATCTAAATCATCGGATCTGAATGAAAATTAGGGATACACAGGCAAGATTAGTTATGTATTACTATGAATTGAGAAAGAATAAATTGCACTGCATCTGTATCTGAATCTTATAATATTTGCTATATTATTAATTTCTGTATGTTCATGTTGTTGAAACAGTAGAATGCTTCATCAGACAATTGCCCAGTCACGTTGAGCATTCCTGTTGTTAAAAGAGCAATAGGGTAAGACCACTACTTGAAATTTTCTGACATGAATCAGAATATAAAATACTGGAGACACAAGGAAACTTAAATCATGAGAAATGAATGAGTGTTTAAGCTCTATAATAGTGCGGTAGTCCTAGAATTCATGAGAAGAATGAAAAAACAATATGAAACAGTTTATTCAATCGGAGTAAATTGTTGTTTCAAGCTTCTTCGTATTGTAAAACCCGAGATGGATGAAGGAATGGAACCTTAAGAGCAGAGTCCCAGCGATTGTCCCTAATAGCATCATCGAGAGCCTCCAAAACGGCCTTGGGCCAAAGATTAGTGTATTTTTCTGAGTTGGCTTTCCTCTGGATACCTCTAATGGCGGCTTCTGTTCTAAGTATACGAGAAAGGTTTTTCTTTGAACATTTCTGCAGCCCTTGTGAAGTACTACTTGATGATTTGATAATCAAACCTCGGGGTTTTATACCTTCTTTCATCAAATACGATGCGCCTGCAAACTGAAGCTCCATACCCACTCACTCCCCTCCTCCACAAACAAGACGATAAGGGCCGCAAAGCACTAGTATGTAATGTATATACAATTACTTATCTCCAATTAGTACATTTTAGTCCCTTGTCTTGCATTTTTTTATAAAAGAAAAATCAAAATGTGATTAAATTTTGTGAAATTGAATAAAAATATATTTGGTTAATAGTTTGGTATAAAATTATGAGATAAAGTGTCAAAAACACATTTAAACTATTCTTTTTTTTTTTAGTTTCATATCTAAACTATTGAGATAATAAGTTTCATACCTAAATTAATGTTTATTAGTTTGAGAAACTCACATCTCTCTCTTAATACACTTTCTTTATGTTGTGTGTACTATACTCTCTCTTTTATTTAAAAAAAAATTATCACATTGCACTCCACATAGACAAAAAATAAATAAATTATTAGTATTAGTTAAATTTAAAGATTAAAGAATTATTATCTTATAAAAAATAAAAAATATTTTTTTTTATAAAATAAAATGTAAAATATTTTCCTTACCCCACTCCATCACTTCCTCTCATAGTACCCCCTCCCCCCACATTTTTTACCTTTATTTTGCTTAGATTTCTTTTAGAAAAGTATTTAATAATTTTTTACTTCATCTCCCCCCCCCCCCCCCCACCCCC